TCAGGCCTGAATCGCAGGGTCAGGGCTAGGTCTAATACCTGCTAACAGACGAGTTGGCTCAGTCTGGTTCAGTCACCTTAGCGATACCTTGGATCACTAACGGGCGATGAGGTTGTGTAAGGAGGATGTTGAGGTCCTTTATTCTGGCGGTCGGTGTGTACCTGTAGGGTGAGAAGCAGCAGGGTCCCAGTGGTGCTGTGGGCCTTTACCAACAACTCGGTCCTTCTCCTAACGGTCAGTCCATTTGGTTTCTGCTGACCTGCCTGGTGTGGATTCACAGACCCACCTCCAGTCCTCGAAGCAGCAGTTAGCACCTCACCGCTCCGTCTTCCTCCTGATGGAGCGGCGAGGACAGACGGGACTCTCCTGTGTCTCACAGCTCTGAAATGCAGTTTGTGTGGAGATAGAAAATCAATTTATCAATACGAAACCCTTGTGAGGTCACAGTCTGAGTGCTTGATGTAATTAATGTAATGAACTTTATACTTCTGACCCAGATTATTCTTCTCTCCAGTTTAGTCTGGAGGTTCACTGTGTTCAGGGGATGGAGTTAGAAACCCCACAGTTTGATTCAGAGGGTCGTGATACAGTTATGAAACAATTATTAACGCAACTCGATGCATCCATAATCACACACCAACAGCCTGACTTGAAAAAGTACGCGTAGTCCCACCCTGCAGAATACAATTGTTTTCATTTAGAGGTTTTAGGACCAGATGAACAAATGGAGACGAATCGTTGAGGACATGGATGTCCAAACATCATGTCGGAGCTGTCTTCAGGATTTCCACCTCCTCCTGGGTTAGACTCTGGGGATGGCTGCTAGTATCTTCCAGGAGGAGGATCATGGTCCATCGTGGCTCCAGCAGGTGCATCATAAGGTGGTGTCCCACAGGGCTGTTGGCAAATGTCGAGTAGATGAGTCAACTTTTGTTTCAGGTCTCAGTGAGTTCTGAGTGTTTGGGATCAGGTGACCAAAGAGCCGTGCAGCTGCGTTTAGCAAGACCTGTTTTATAAAAAAGTACAGCCTTTTTGTTTTCATTGTTTTGTTTGTAAAACTGAATTCTAGGCTCTTTACACATTGTCTTGTTGCCAACCTCCATCCTCATCGTACCCACCCGGACAGCCGCCCCCACATGTAGGATTAAATTAACTCAAGTACTTCAGAGATGACGGTGGACACATTTGAACCAGTTTTTCATTATGTAATATTTACAGAATACATTTTGGACTCTCCCTTGTGAATGTTGTTCACCAGGTGGTCTCCAACAGTCGCAGCCTAGGAAACTGCCTGTTTTTATCGACACGGGGACGGAGTTACGTCTGTGTTGCTTAGCGCTATGTTGCTGCCGGTTTTTATTGATTGGGGGGGAAGCGGTACGTTAGTAGCATTTTTAGCTAGCAAGTTTGTTATGGCCCTGCGCTACATCGGTATCGACAGTTGTTGGCGGAGTAGGGTTCGGTAGGCAGGGCGCTCGGTTCTGTTGATGGGGCGGGGCGCCCTGCTTGTGTAATGGTAGGAGAAACACTGAGCTCCTCTAAGTCTGAGGTCTTGGTTATCCACTGGATTGAATGGCTAGAACGGCCCCGCTGGGTTGAGGGGAGTCTTTGCATCAGATGGAGGAGCTCGGGTATCTGGGCGTCTTGTTCTTGAGTGATGGTAGGATGGCGCAGGAGATGGATCGATAGATCAGGGCCTTGTCCTCAGTAATGAGGGTGTTGCTTCGGTCAGTAGTGGTGAATAAAGTGTTAAGTCTAAAGACAAAGCTCTTGGTTTACTGGTCTGTTTATGTTCCAACCCTCACCTGTGGTCATGAAGTTGAAATCAGGACTGAAAGAACTAGGTGCTGGATCCAAACAATTTAAATGAGCTCCCTTCGTAGGGTGGGGGCTCTGTCATCGCCACTGTGCCTTCATCGAAAGGAGTCAGTTGAGGTGGTTCATCAGGTTAGGACACCTCCCTACTGAGGTTTTCCAGGCATATCCCACTGGGAAGAGACTTTAGGGCAGAACCAGAAGTAGTGGAGGGATTATATGTCTGCTCTAGCCCGGGAACACCTTAGGGTTTCCCATAAGGAGCTGGAGAGTGTCTCTGTGGAGAAGAAGTTCTGGGTTTTCCTCTTGGACTTGTTGCCTCCACAGTCCGACTTTTTACAGCTTCTCTGTATTCACAGTAAAAGTTTCAAACGTGAGTTCAGCCGTAAAGATAAAAAGAGGAGGTCGTGTGTATATGTGTATGTATGTATATATATATACATATGTAAGTGTACAAAATTAGACACTCTCAAATATATATTTTGTTATGTTTATTTTG